GCACAGAACACCACCACCTGAACAACATCCTGACTTGAAACCATATAATTATTGCTTCATTGACACTGGGGCAAAATTCTGGAACGCCGTTCCTAACAGTATTGTGGATGTCACTATACTCCAGTGTTACAGCAGCACATTACAACAGGTCACCACCACATTCTCCAGGAAAATTAGGAATGTAAAAAAATGCTGGCCTAGCCAGCAGCACCAATATGCCACAAACGAATGAATAAAGAAAACGTAATCATCACAAGCCACTTAAACACTTTTATCACAAGTCCTAGATGTTCAGGCAAAACTCCTGTCAAAAATAACAGAAAACACACATGTAGCATTGATTAAGAACATATATGTGCAATATTGCTACATGAGTCATATTTCTAGGCCAGAGTCTTGCCACATCTTAACTGGCATTTGTTTTTAAAAAGTTTATTGAACTTGGACAGCAATTTTGTACTCACTTTTTTGTTTTACCCAACAACATGGACACAAACCTCAACTTTTAAACCAATACTGCCTTCTTTGTTAACTTCATAACTATGACCATTATTAGACATAATCAGGTTGTTTGCAGTGATACCCAAGAAACTGGAGCAGCCTCAGCATCTGTCAAAGGTTAGTGCTCAATTTTGGATCAACTCTTTACTTATTGGCTTTCTAGTATTCTATAAGGAGAGACTAGATAGGCTGGGACTCTTTTCACTGGAGCTTAGGAGGTCAAGGGGTAACCTTATAGTGGTTTATAAAATCATGAGGGGCACAGATAAGGTGAATACCAAAGGACTTTTCCCTAGGGTGGGGGAGTTCAAAACTAGGGGGCATATTCTTAAGGTGAAAGGAGAAAGATTTATAATGGACCTGTGGGGCAACATTTTCAAACAGAGGGTAGATCATATGTGGAATGAGGAAGTGGTAGGTGCAAGTACAGTTACAACCTTTAAACGACATTTTGACAGGTTCATGGAAAGGAGAGGTTGAGAGGGATGTGGGCCAAACGCAGGCAAATGGGCATAGTTTAGTTTGGGAAACTTGGTCGGCACGGACAAGCAGGACTGAAGGGTCTGTTTCCGTACTGTATGACTCTACGACCGTAAAGTCTAATTGTTCCTGATTAGTAGTTGAGTTTCATTGATAGAAACTATAATTGTTCTAACTACTAACACTAGGGAGACACAGACAAAGAGAGAATCACTGAATCAGAAATTTACAGCATGGAAGGTGGAGATTCCGGTCATTGTATCCATACCAAACAATAAGTAGCGATCCAACTTATTTCCACCTTCCAACTCTTGGCCAAAATCCTTGTAGGTTCCAGTACTTCGAATGCATATCCTGGTCCACCGGACCCAAAACGTTAACTCTGTTTTTTCCTTCACAGATGCTGCCAGACCTGCTGAGCTTTTCCAGCAGCATTGTTTTTGCTTATGGTCTACTAAACAGCTGATATTTCTACCATAGGGCTGAAACATGGACAACATATAGGAGGAACCTCAAAGCCCTGGATTCATTATCAACATGGCCTGTGGAAGATCCTACATAACAAGCAAAGGAATAGCCACATTAGCATCAGTGACTTCTCAAGCAGGCACCACAAAACATCAACACTGCGATTTTTAAAAAAAAAATCATAGATTCCCTACAGTGCAGATAGAGGACATTCGGACAATTGAGTCTGCATCGATCCTCCGGAGAGTTCCCAGCCAGGCCCAATCCACCCGAGTAAACCTGTATTTACCACGGTTAATCCATCGAGCCTGCACAACCTTTGACACCACAGCCAATCCACCTAACCTGCGCATCTTTGGACTGTGCGAGAAAACCAGAGCACCTGGTGGAAACCCACACAGACATGGGGAGAACAGGCAAACTCCATAGATCTTGTGCCATCAGTTTCATTTGAGTTGATCATATAATCTGGATGTCAAATCCTAGGCATCCAATCCAGGTGTTCTGCTTCCAATGCAGTCAGGATAGATGCCCAAAAGGAGGACAGAAGAACTTCAAGGATGTGCTGAAAGTCAATATGAATAAATGCAACCTTGACATCAATTCCTGGGAGACCATTTTACTGGACTGAATAGTGATGTTAGCTCCCTCTTCAATTTGCTGTAGTAAGTGTTATTTGCCACAACAATCAATTGAAATTATGCCACCAACAGTATGAAATTGTGTGTTCAGGTATCTAACTGAACAAATAGTACACTTTGTTTGTCTTTAATCGAATACTTATTCCCTGCATTAAGGCTAGAACCATTTCTCCACCCAACCTCCTCCCCTACCACCCAGAGTATAATTCTCTGATTTGGGAAATTTGGAGCTGGTTAATCAAATAAGTTAAACCCAGTTAATTAATTCAACTGCTGCAAGTCTCTTTAAGTTCCTCAGTTATCCAGCAATTTCTAGGCCAGGTACCTATTACTTTTGAAACAAAAATGTATTAGCATCTTGGGGTTACAATACCTTCTACAGCCATATTATACTGTTTACTTTTCCAATCAAAAGGCAAAAACAAGGAAGACCACAGTGTTAATAATTTATTCAAGTAGTAAGAGAAAAGACTTACAGAACATCTTGGATTTAATTTTTTCTTTATTTCTTGCATTAAACTAAAATCTTTTTCACTTCTGGAAAACAAAAAAAGTGGCAAATATGAATCCCAGTGGATTTAGATGTTGTTAAAAGATACACACAAAACAAAGAAGAGACATAAAAATCAAGGTTAACAGACAATAATTTGCACTCATATAGTATACTTAACATCTTAAAACATCCTATTGCACCTTACCAGTGCATTTTCAATAAATATTGGTACTAAGTAAACAAAAAGGTTGACCAAATAAATAGGATTTAGAAGGTTGGAGAGAGAAAGGCAAAGACCTTGGCATGTAAAGGCACAGGAACCAAATGATGAAGTGACTAAAGTTGCAAGATATTAATAAAACTAAGGACATAAGATGTACAAGCATCAATATTTGTAACGATCTTCTGTGCTCCAGCGACTAAGAGAGTGGACGATTCATTTCTGCATCATTTGGTTCACTTATGACAAAAAAAATTTGAAGGCACTACATATTGCAAAGACTACAGCATCTGACAACATCCTGACAATAGTGCTAAAGACTTGTACTTCAGAATTTGTCATGTCCCCAGCAAAGCTGTTTCAGTACAACTACAACACTGGCATCTACTCAATAATATGGAAATTGTCCAATTATGTCTTGTACATGAAAAGCAGAACAAATTCAAACCAATCAAATTACTGTCACATCAGTCTACTGTCGATCATCAGTAGAGTGATGGAAGTTGTCATCAACAGCACCAGTAAGCAATAATCTGCTTAACGATGTTCAGTGTGGCCTCCACCAGGGCCATTCCGTCTGACCTGATAACAGCCTCAGTTCCAACACAGAGCAAAGTGCTGAATTCCAGAGTTGAGTCAAGAATGACTGCCTTTGGAATTCATGTCATATTTGACAGAGTGCAGCATCACAAACCCTAGCATGAGGTGAAAACTCTGTTGGTTAGGATCAAACACAGCACAAAGGAAAATTGTGTGGCTGTTCAGTCATCTCAACTCCAGGATGTCTCTGCAGGAGTCCCACAGGGAATGTACTAGGTCCAACCATCTTCAGCTGCTTCTTCGATGACCTTCCATCCATAAAGGTTAGAAATGAGGATGTACAGTGATGAATGTATAAATGTGCAACACCATTTGTGACTCCTCAGATACTGAAGCAGTCCATGTCCATGTCCAGATACAGCAAGAGTGGGATGATATCCAGGGTGAGGCTGTTAAGTAACATTCACGCCAAAGATGTGGCATGCAATGACGAACACAATCTCCAAGAAAGACTAACCATCACCAATGACCTTCAATAGGTTTATCACTGCTGAAACCCCCATTATCAACATTTGGGGATTACCAATGACTAGAAACTGAGCTCCACCAGCCGTTTAAATACTGTGGCTACAACAAGTCAGAGCTAGGAATCCTGCAGCGAGTAAATCATCTCCTGTCTCTGCAAAGTCTATCCAACATCAACCAAGCACAAATCAGCCACATTTATGCCTACTGTGTTTCCTGTTAGCGAATCAGTTTTGCATCAAAGCTGCCTAGACTCCTACAAGATAGATAAGCTCCAGATAGACTTTTTTTTTTTTTTTTTTTTATAAAAGAACCTGGTCTCTTTTTTTTTTAAAAAAGTTGCCAATTTAAATCTTTCTCACCCCGCAGGGTTGTGGAGCTGGGAGATGTAAGAGAGATCAGGAGGGGCCAAGACCTGAAGGGATTTAAAAACAAGGATGAGAATTTTCAAATCAAACTGCTACCAGATCAGAAACCACTGCAGGTTACAAGCACAAAAAAGTGTGAATTGAGCTTGGTATGTGTCATAATACAGAAACTAGTTTGCTGATATTGCAGGCAATAAGGATGGTAAACGGAATTTTGGCAAATGTACAAGGCATTAGACTGCACCTGGAGAACTGCGTACAATTTTGGTCCCCTTATTGGAGGACAGATCCAGTTGTATTGGTAGGCAGTTCAGAAGAGTTTCATTAGATTAATTCCAGAGGTGAGAAGTTTGTCTTGTGAAGACACAGTGAGCAGTTTAGGCCTGTACTCTTTACAGATTAGAAGAATGAGAGGAGATTGAATTGAGATATATAACATGCTAATGGAATTGCCAAAGTAGATTTAAAAAGATATGTTTACTCATGTGGGGCAATCTAGAACAAGAGGTCATAGTTTTAGTTTTAAATCTGCTACCCCTCACCCTAAGATGAGGAGACATTTTCTCAAAGGGTTGAGACTCTTTGGAATTCACTGCCCCACCGTGTGGTCAATGCTTAGGACTTTGAGTAAATTTAAAGGAGGAGACAGACAGATTTTTAATCAGTAATGGGTTGAAGGGTTCTGGGAAGGAGGCAGGAAAGTGGAGTTGAGGCCAAGATGTGATAAGCCGTACCAATCGTATCAACAGCAGAGTTGCCTACTCCTGCTTCTGGTTCTCATGCTATGTTCTTTTGGACAGCAGTTACTAAATTCAGATTTAGATACTGGAGGCAAGCCAAGAGAGTACTGTAATAGCTATGGTTCAGTGTCATAAAAACAGGTAGTGACAGCAATGTAGAGAGTGGCTAGAGTAAGGAGTTTGGGATTAAGCTTTGATCTACTTAATGTTCAACTGGAAGAAATTTCTTCTAAACCAATACTGGACACTGAAAAAGGAGCGTGACAAACCAGATACAGTGGAGGCATCATGCGAGATGATCATATTTCAGAGTTGGATAACATCAATGCACATTTAAAAGTCAAAGACAGCTGGTACTTTAAAATATACAGGAGTACCTAGAATAATCCTTAGCAGGCTCCAGGAGTAACAGTAACGCAAGTCTAAACATTTAGCAACCACTACTAAAAATGGTAAAATGAGCAAATAACTTGGCAATTTATTAGTGATACAGTAACTTTAGCAGAGCAAGATTAAACAATGAAGTAAACTAATTGATGTCTCGGATTTAAGCCCAATAACCTTTGCTTTCAGTCCCATTCATACAAAAGACACACACAAACAGGCTTACAAACATGCAAACACAGTTATGAGACAAATGAAAGAAAATAACAAAACTGGCCAGATTGCTTAAGTGGCTTTCATAACATGATGTTCCACAGACATAGATGATGGTTTTTTTAGAGATAGTAGGAACTGCAGATGCTGGAGAATCCGAGACAACAAGGTGCAGGGCTGGATGAACACAGCAGGCCCAGCAGCATCATAGGAGCAGAGAGGCTGACGTTTCGGGCCTAGACCCTTCATCAGAAAAGGGGGAGGGGAAGGGGGTTCTGAAATAAATAGGGAGAGAGTGGGAGGCGGATAGAAGAGGGATAGAGGAGAGGATAGGTGGAGAGGAAACAAACAGGTCGAAGAGGCGGGGATGGAGCCAGTAAAGGTGAGTGTAGGTAGGGAGTTAGGAAGGGGATAGGTCAGTCCAG